CCTGCGTTGAATGTGCAAATGTATGCCGATGATGAGGTCATCTTTATACACCCGAGGGCCTTCGCAGCAGCTGGCCCTAGGCTCTGGAACACTCTGTCCCTCCATGTGGGTCGGCCCAGACCCTAGGGGTTTTTAAATCTACTCTTAAAACACACTTCTTCTCCCTGGCCTTTTAGTCAGAGCGGAGCACGACTCCTGACTTTTCCCTGTGTTTTTTTATATATCTGTTGTAATTTATTGTCTTTTATTGTGATTGTAGTAATGTGTTTTTATGTGATTGTAGTATTTATTACATGTACAGCACTTTGGCCCGACCAAAAATCGCTTTTAAATGTGCTTTATAAATAAACTTAACTTTGATTTGATTTGATATACACGGGAAAAAGACTGAAATAATCTCATCCTGTCTCTCAAATGCTTTGGACGAGGTTCAACACTGGCTGAACAACATTTGCTTACAGTTAAATGTAAAAAAAACAGTATGCATGATGTTCAGTAAACGACCAGTCAAAATCGAAGGATCCAACATGTTTTTAAACGGAGCAGAAATAGAACTAGTCTCCCAGTTCAAGTATCTAGGAGTCATACTGGACTCGAACTTGACTTTTAAAGAAACACATTAAGAAAGTATCAAATACTATTAGGGTGCATTCACACCTAATAGTCCGCTTCTCTGGTGCGCACCAGACCACAGTTTATTACATTGTTTCATTTTTCAGAAGGTTCGGTTTGCGTTCACACGGGCAAAACTCAAACGGACTATAAACTTTAAACTAGGGCTGTCAAGTTAACGCGTTAATAACGCAAAAAAAATTAACGCCACAAATTATTTTAACGCGATTAACGCATGTGTATTTTTTGTCCTCGGCCGCCCCGTAGTTTCAGATCGCAGTTTAAAATACCATCTACAAGCTGATGCCGACAGCCCCGCTCCTGCCGCCCGCTTGTGGCAGACCACACTTCCACGCTCACCGGCAGACCTTACTTGTTGTTAGCATCTGGTGCTAGCTAGCTGCGCTAACGGATATAAGGAGCTGTTTTCAATGAAAACAGAGGAACGACATTTCGCTGACAACTGTGCCGAGCACTTGACTTTATGCAGGTAGCCAGACAGTGGGACATTGTACGAAAAGTCCACACACACACACACACACACACACACACACACACACACACACACACACACACACACACACACACACACACACACCACACACACACACACACACACACACACACACACACACACACACACACACCACACACACACACACACCCACACACACACACACACACACACACACACACACACACACACACACACACACACACACACACACCCACACACACACACACACACACACACACACACACACACACACACACACACACACACACACCACACACCACACACACACACACACACAACACACACACACACACACACACACACACACACACACACACACACACACACACACACACACACACACACACACACACACACACACACACACACACACACACACACACACACACACACACACACACACACACACACACACACACACACACACACACGGTTCCAGGTTGAATTGAGGCGAATATTTGTATTGTTCAGAGGTTGTTTGTTTAATATTCATGAGAATATTTGTCATTGTTCAAATGATAAACAAACATATAAAGCATATTTGTCCTCTCATATGTTGATAAGAGTATTAAAAACTTGAAAAATATCCCTCTAAGGTACATTTAGAACAGATAAAAAATGTGCGATTAATTTGCGATTAACTATGGACAATCATGCGATTAAATATTTTAATCGACTGACAGCCCTACTTTAAACACAAGTCATGTGCACGGAAATGCTGTTCAACCATTGGTCAGACATTAAGGGGGTAAAAATGCAAATCCCGGCAATTTCTACCGGAGCCTTCGCCATGGAGCATCGGCACTTTCGGCAGGTCCTCAAGAGGTATTTTGTTTTTTATTACTTCTTTTATTATTTTTGCTTAATTATTTGTCATTTTTCAAGCTACGAGATGTTTTCCCACATTTGTCATGAAAAATTATGTCTCAGGAATGTAGGGTTTGGGAATTATGGAATATGAAGGCAAATTTCAAGATTTCCTACCCTCTAGCTGTGACATCACGCACTCTAGTTAATGTTCAAATCTGAAGAAAGCCTCTTTACCAAGGTCTGAACAATGTTTAATATCTCTAAAAGTAAGAATCAGATTTAAAAGTTGTGTTACACGAATAATGTCAGAAAGATGTGTAACATTTTAAAGTTGGAATGAGGTTTCTGAGTGAAAGTATGAATGAACAGTTAGCAGTTGAAGTCACATGAAGATTGTTCAAGTCCGAAGATTTTCTCCATTGACTTCAATGGTTAAAAATGTGATGTATTATGGGATGTATCTCTGGAATTATGAAAGTTATGAATAATACAAATAATAGCCATCGATTCCCGACCGAGCTGAACGTTTTGATGTTTGAACGGAGTTTCTGCGATGATGAATGCAGGAGGAGAAGAGGTGCAAAATTCCGGCGGAATAATAAACATTTTGTCCGTAGAATAACATATAGTTGGAATGCTGTATCAGCATTCCAACTAAATTAGACCTTTCTTAACTGTCAAGGCTGCAAAGTCATACCTCCATTCTATGATTCTATCCCACATTGAATACTGTTTTACAAACTGGTCGTTTGCTTGTGCCACAAACCTGAAACCAATAGAACAGCTGTACAAAAGAGCTATCAAGGTGTTTGACAGAAAGCCATATTCATACCACCACTGTACCATCCTTGAAAAACACAATTTCTTGAGTTTTGACAATTTTAAGTCTTTTAAAAGTATGTGCTTTGTCTATAAATGTTTACATGGACTGGCCCCCCCTCCCTTATCAAATCAAATCGGGTTTTATTTATATAGCACATTTTAAAAACGATTTTTGGTCGAGTGCTGTACATGCAAATAATAAATAACACATTACTACAATCGCAAACAGAAGACAATAAATTACAACAGCAAATATAAAAATCAAACACAGGGAAATGTCATGAGTCATGCTCCGCTCTGACTAGAAGGCCATGGAGAAGAAGTGAGTTTTTAGTGTTGATTTAAAAACCTCTAGGGTCTGGGCCAACCTCACATGGAGGGGCCTAGGGCCAGCTGCTGCGAAGGCTCGGTGACCTCGGGTTTTGAGCCTGGTCTTGGGCACTACCAGCAGCAGCTGGTCAGCCGACCTTAATGCTCTGACTGGGGTGTAGCGATGGAGGAGTTCTGCTATATAGGCCGGAGCCAGTCCATTTAGTGCTTTAAAAAGTACTAAAAGTTTAAAATCAATTCGGAACCTAATTGGAAGCCAGTGCAGTGAGGCCAGAATTGGGGTGATGTGGTGACGCTTTTTGTGGCCAGTGAGAAGACGCGCAGCTGCGTTCTGCACTAGCTGCAGGCGTCTAATTGATGCCTGGTCCATACCCACGTATAGAGCGTTGCAATAATCCAGCCTTGTGGTTACAAAGGCGTTAATAACCCTTTCTAGGTCTTTAAAAGATAAAAACGACTTGGTCTCTGCCATTAGTCGTATTTTAAAAAAGCAGGTTTTGACTACGGTGCTGACCTGCTTGTCAAATTTAAAAGCGCTAGTGAAGGTCACTCCAAGGTTCATGACCGAGGGGAGGATGTTTTTATTGAGGGAGCTCAGAATATCAACCAGAGAGCCTGGAGGTTGGGGTCCAAAAAAGATGACCTCGGTCTTGCTCTCGTTGAGGTTGAGGAAATGTTGGCTCAGCCAGGATTTGATCTCTGTCAAGCAGTCCATCAATAGCTGTAATGAGTTGACATTAGAATTGAGAGGCAGATTGATCTGTACATCATCGATGTAACAATGGAAGGGGATGTTGTGTTTTGTGAGAATTGAACCTCGGGGCAGTATGTACAGTAGAAAAAGGATGGGGCCCAGAATAGAGCCTTGGGGAACCCCACAGGTAAGAGGGGCTTTGGCAGAGGAGAAGGTACCTAGCTGAACTGAGAAGCTGCGGTCTGTCAGGTAGCACCTGAACCATGCAAGGGCAGAGCCTGTGATGCCTGCGGACTGCATCCACAGAAAACACACTGGACGCTGCACTAGGTCAGGAACCAGAGGAGACTGTGAAGTCCACCGTAGCCCGACCACTTTTGGACAAAATGTCCTCTCCATTAAAGGCAGCTCATTGTGGAATAGCCTCCCAACTGAGATACGGGATTGTCCCACTCTCAATAGCTTCAAAGGTCAACTCAAAGAATGGTTGAGAAACAAACAGACGTGTAATCACCGCTAAATGCACTTTAACACAGGGGTAACTCCTTTTGCACTTTATGTAGCTCTTGTATCTTCTCTGGTACTTTACAAGTCGTTGCTGCTATATTGTGCTGCCATGTGATAAATACTTGTGTATGCTGCTCTTGCTCTTTTGCACTTTTTGCATATCATGTATTTGTTTTTGCTATGTTTGTAAAATGTCAATTTCTTAAATGTTTTATGTGATGGAAATGAGCTCAAAGCTAAATCTGGCATATTTACGCTTGACACATTTTATTGTTTTAAGTGTTCATTAATGTGCATTGTCCCTGCTAAATAAACGATTAAATAAATAAAATTGAAATCTTTAATACATGCTTAGGCCCCTTGGTTCTCCTTAGTTCTATCTGGGGGTCTTTCACATTAAACGTAGTCTTTTGATCCATTAATAATATAAGAATATTAATCAGTAAGGTTTTTATCATTCTATCTCCTGGTAGCTTGTTTCTGTTTTATAAATACATGTTTTCCAAAAGGTAAAAAAGTTACAAAAACTAAACAAAGAAATCACCAACAGGAAAAGCTGAAGATGAAACAGGAATCAAATATCAATAGTCCATATTGGGATTACTAGGATTTGGAGGAAGCTCTATGATGTCACCCTGAGCACTACCAGCTGGTATGGTTGGGGAAAATGTAAATAAAAGAGTGTACCTGCATCAGACTGGCCGCCATGTTGCCAGTGGATTTCCCGGACTGGTTGTGGATCTGGGCCAACACCTGGATGATCTGGCCCTGTGTGTAACCCTTCAGGTCCGTCTGGGCATTCAGGACCACGGTCCCTGTTTTCACCAGCATGTAGGTGAACTGCTGCGTCACTGCAGAGGAACTGGGCTCCTGCATGGAGGAGGGCAAGATAGATATCAGTCTGTCGGGGCTGGAGTCCAGACGTGGTTAGCATAGCTTAGCACAAAACCTGACGCAGTTGGAAACAGCTGGCCTGGCTCAATCCAAACTGGAATAGCTCACAAATTACTCATTGAATTAAGTTTGTTTATTCAGCACTAATAGAAAATTAAAAATGACAATTAGTGGTTGGAGAATGGGGAGATTTTAGATTTGTTCGTTTTGTACAAACACTCAAGTATAAGTGGGGATGAAATATAATATTTTATCAACACTGTGGTTCTTTAATTCATGTATTTATTATTTTAGTTTCCTATTTTTATGAATGTTCATTTTTTATTTATTCATTTGTATTTCTGGAAGAAGTGAAATGTTGTGTCATGTTGACATTTTGATTGTAGTGTATTCAAACCCCCACTTTGAGTGAAAATACAATTATTTAAAATAAGAAAATAAATGAAACTGTTACTTTCTGGCGCCCAGCACATAAACATTCAGACTGAACCTCTGCAGGGGGGTCCGGGGGGATTCAATATACATCCATGGCCTACACATTGGGGTCTGGCAACATTTTACTATTAATGTTTAACTATTAAAATATAATAATATTATGACTGAAAGGGTTTAGATAAAAAAAATTGAAGAAAAAAAAGAAAATGTAGCTAGCACATCACAACAGCTGTAGCTGATGGCTCACTATACTTGGCTAAAGGCTCGGCTCTTAGAAAACAAGTGTAGACTTCATATTAGCCATCTTTTCATATCTTCTCCTGCACATTGGAGGAAAATGACATCAAAATAACATACGTGATCATTTTGCTTTTAAAAGCCATTTGACATTTATAAGTCAAATCTAATAGTACAGTCTTGATTAGAAATTATTTGTAATGCATCAAAAGCAAACATAATCTGGAGGGAAATAATGATTGTTAAGTGGCCAGGTTGACCAAGCATTCTGACAGACTGCACTATGGACGCAGACACAGAAGGGATGAATGGTGTTGTGTAAATTGCTCGAGCACCTAACTACCCCTCAAAGCACAGGCTGTCCATTTTACATGCATCTTCATATAGAGGATGTATTGAACAATGATGGGGGTCGGTTTCTGTCCCTGTAGATCAGCCTTGTGTAGTGGTCTAAGCAGACGAGGACTGAACATTTACACACGTCGGATCATTTCTCACCCATATGTCGGGCACTTTGTTCAGGTTCAGGAGGCACAGCAAGTAGAAAGCTTTCTCTGTGTTGTAGTCCTTGGCGAAGCGTGGAGTGTTGATAAAAGCTCTCACTCTGTAAATGATCCTTCCATAGTTTCCTTCAAAAGATGTCGGGGCAGACTCTGTGGAAAGAACACAAACATGTTTTAGCAAATACACACTTACACAGCGAGTTGTTCTGACAGTTTTTACACAGTCTGCAGTTTCCTTTTTATCTTCTTGACTGGATTCCAGCAGCCCCTGCTCACTAGAAAGTTTGATAGTTGTGCAACGGAATTATCGACAAATGTTGACCATGTCATATTAATGCAAGAAATGACTCACAGGTTAAAGGATGACAATGCAATGTAAACAAACAGAACATCAAGTTATATTCCTGACATGTGAACAGAGCCTGGACTTCTCAGACGAGTGTCTACAGATGATGCCACAATACTGCTTACTCCCGGGTTGGAGTCCATCCTCAGACTGCCCGCCCAATTCCAGTCTTGTCTCTACATTAGGGGCTAGTGTTCTTTGAGACAAACTCTACTCTATGTCTTCTCGTTCAGCCAGAGACTCATCGCTCCTCTGTAGAGCACAGGCTGCACAACCAAGGGTTAACAATGTAGCCCAAATAATCTGCACTGAACAATAATAATATCAGCACTGTATGCACATACAACCGCACTGGTACTTGCACATTTAAATGTATGTATATTTAACTTGGTTTACATATCTGTATATATGTACATTCACCTGATCAGTGTTTGACTCAAGTCATTTTTGTCTTTTCTATTCATAGATAGATATATAGATATATATATATATATATATATATATATATATATATATCACCAAATTGCAACTAATCTATATCTACTGTCACTTTTCACATTGAACATGTGCTCTTTTATTAAATAAACTAAACGCTTTCATTTTAAGTTGTGAGTTTAGTGTTTTTGACCCTAAGAAACACTGATGCATTAATCAATAACAATAATCCACAGCTCCTCTCTGCTCCAGAGGATTTAAAAAATATATATCCCAATGCCCCCCCCCCCTCCCCTCCCGCTCAGGCTATTGTCAACACAGACCAAACCATCTAGTGTTTCTGTTTAAATGTTAAACACCGGACAAACAAAAATGGAAATTAAACCAACTCTACTCCACTCTTCCAAATGAAGGTGAAAATGTTAAAAAACAAATCTTCAAAAAACATTCCTCCAGAGAGTGCCCTGATTTTCCGACAGTAAAAAGACCGGTTGGGTGGCTTTTGAGTTTCTGTGGTGTTCCTTCTGCCAAACGATGTCAGGCACATGAGTTTCTTTACAAAGGCTAAACAAAGATACATTCTTTCACACTATAGTTAAACACTCTGAAACTTAAAGAGGGCAGGGTTGTTCAAATGTCTAAGGACATTTAGACGTCACAAGTTTGTATTATTTGGACTATCACAAGAAACAAAAAGGTTTACCATGATCCAACTAAACTGTCCCATTATCTAAAAAACATTTATAAAAAATGATTTGGTCAGTACTCAGTGTCTCAGAATAACAATGAGAAATTCCCTTTTTGTTGTCAAACATCTGCTGATGTCATGAGGGAGTGCTCTCCAGATTGCAGTGTGATGAGTAAGTGGAACAGAAGCTGCTGACTCACTGCAGATGTCAGGTGACAGGAAGTGGTGGTGGCAGATGGAAAACTTGAGGAGAACCAGTGGCATGAGAGACACACCTCCCACTTCAATTCAAATGCTCTACTTCAGAACATTTTCAATACTCGTTCTCATTTGTGTCTCTAAAGCAGGGGTGTCCAAACTATGGCCCTGGGACCAGCTGAAGCCATTAAATTGCCCGCAGCAATTTCTTAAAGTATAATAGAATATGCCCCCCAAAAATGTGTGCTTGTCTTATATTGTACTTCCGTATTATTCATGTGTCAATAAGCCAATTTTTCAAATAAATTCAGTCAATTACAATCTAAAACATTTTCTAACAAGTCTTAGTTAATAAAAAACAAACCTCTGGAGAGCTGTGATGGAGGCTGTTTTCTCTTAAAGCATATTCAAGTATCAAGCATCATTTACCTACATTTGATTGATTTTGCTAACTTATAACTGAACTTATGAGGCAATACACCTCAGCTCTAGTGGGGGGCCCAGCACTGCATATGTTTTTCTGTATTTGGCCCTCAGTGAACACAGTTTGGACACCAATGCTCTAAAGTATTCAAGAAAAGTGCTGCCATCAGGCACACTCACTTACAGCAGTCAGTCTAACACAACATCTAGGCAGTAACTGCTACTAGAAGTGATGAGGCACTTCAGGGAGATTATTTCATGTCAAAGTAACATTCAATGTCCTCATGTGACATTTAAAAGCAACATTTAGCATTAGCGTTGATGAACCTCAAATGGAGGGACAGTTCAAATTGTAATTTAAGGAAATCAAGTACAGACATGTAGAGGAAATACCAGGTGTTATAACAATTGGTCAATTATTTTACATAATTTCTGATTACAATGTTTTCACCAAAGCATTTGCTGAGATTTGGAAACACGGCGACCTCACGGCAACTAAATCAGACAGGTTATGAAACACATGCAGTCTGATGGACAAAAACCTGTCTGATATGTAGAAACAAAGGTTTACTTTACACGCATCATTTAAACTATTATATTATCAGGTCAAACTGCACTGAAATGTATACGCACTACAGGACCGTGTTGAGTTTTTGTTTAGTCATGTTCAGTAGCAGCATTTTATAACTAGAAAATTCCGAGAAATGTTGACTGTGACTGAAACTTGGGTGCGCGTCCCGATGCTAACATTACCTCCGCTGAGTAAGTATTAATAGCATTAGTTGTATTGTTATGGTACAATAAAGAATATCCATTAATTTTAGCTCACTTTTAGCTGACTATTTTAACTGTTTATCTATTACATTTTTGGATTCTTGCACCACATTCCTGAATCGTTTCTGAACATCTTTAGATTACCACTGGATTTAGTTAACGACCGACAGGTGTGTTCAAAGATCAAAGCGTTTCCACGGCAATGTCCTGCCAGTGAACGAGAGACAGCCTGCAGAGAATGTATTGACAATATTGTGCTGCATTATTGCTTCTAAATAAAAAACTGTAACTCCAATCAGCAGAATATCCTACCCAGAGTATTTAGGATACCAGATGAACACACCTGATGACTCTCGTGTTTGCCATGTGTAAGTCCGTTTGATTAAATGAGAATATCGGTGCGGCCGGGACACATTTCCCTACATCAGGCCTATTCAAATGGCGGCCCGCGGGCCAGATGCGGCCCAGAACCAACTCCCGAGTGGCCCAGCCTCCCACGGCCAAATTCCTACACTAATACAGACCAGGAACACGACACTCCGCGTTGCCTAGAAACCACCAAACCACAACGCAGCGTGTTTTTTGAAAGTGCATCTAGTGGTGCTAGTAACGGTGGTCCTATGATAGCAACTCTAAAACATGTCTCTCTCAACTCTGAAGCGTAAACAGAGACAAAGCGGTCATTGATCTTGTGGAGCAGATGCGCACATTCCAAGTCAAGCTGGACCTTTTTGCGACCCACTTGAGCACGGGTCGGATGCTGCATTTTCCAACGCTCCACAAACACAACAAATCCCCGGCACAAATCACGGATGTGATGAAAGACTTCATTGCGAGGTTGAAAGAGAACTTTGCCGGTTGATTGGACTTGCTCCACTGACAGGAAGGGAGGAAGAACACTGATCATTTGTACATACCTCCTCCAAAGCAAAATAACAAAGCATTCACTTTGCATGCAACAGTGCAACTGAGCGGTGCACCGTGTCAAACGGGTGATTTGAGAAATTCAAAAGTGTCAGTGCTCTTCGAGGCAGGATATAATGCACATATTACTAATAATAATAGTTGGATTTTTTGGATCTGTGGATCTTTACCAAATCAGGTTTTTAGTAGCTTCTCTGCAGTTCCACAATATTTAATGCATATATTATTTTTTACACATTTTGCCGTTACTTTGATTTGGATATTGTAGAAGTGCAATTTCAATAACATTGTCATTAAATGTACAGCCCTTATGCACATGGAGGGGTGTTCTTTATATTATCAAAGTATTCCTACATTTGTATTTTATTTGTATATTTTTTTATTTACAAGATATCGCAGGATCCAATATATTGAATCATAATCCCTGTATCATGAGACGCATCGAATCGCCAGATTGTTGCTGATCAACAGCCCCACACCACAGTAAAGATCAGACAAGCAATATAAAAATAATAACCTATTTTGTGTGGGAAGATCCGTATCTCTTTCTAATCGCTATTTGACTCTTCCTCTGATCTGTGCTGATGTGATGGATATTAAGCTTTGGCTTAGTTGAATACTCAATTATGATTGGTCAATTCAGAACACGTGACACGTTGTTAATCCAGTACAGACCGTGTCAAGGACTTATTACCCGTTGTTAAGGACGCTCACATCTGCAGAAAGAATTCCGGTCGATTTAACTGTATACAGTTTGAAAAGTAAACTGCATGCAGTTTGCTTTTCAAACTTCAAGCTTGTCTTTAGTTTTCCGTTGTCTCCCGTCTGACAGCAACATGGAGGATTTTAATATTAATTTTAATATATTTGGAGAGCACAGGATGAATGGTTAGTGGCTGATGAGAAGAAAATAAAAAAGCAAGAGGGACAAGAAAACACCTACGGGGCAGAAACCCTCAACAGGAGCTGCGGTCCTTTTTACGTAATGGTCCAGACATCAAAAGGCCAAAACATATTCAGTTGCCAGTTACTTTGGCATTAGGGCAGGGATATCTAGATACTTTCCAAGGTTTGATATAATGAATTGTGCTACTTCTAAAGCAAGCAACGATGTTTTCAAATCAGTAATCAAAAGCTCCGCCAAAACGCCATCGAAGCAGTTCCTGCCGTTGCTACGTAGTTCAAACGGTAACAACGGACTATTTTTCTTAGCGGATGTTTTTTTAAATCAATAATACTATTTTTTAAATCAATAAAAACATGTTCTAAATCAATAAAAGCATTTCAATTAATATTGTCATGTCGTTACTTTGTTGAGAATGTGGCCTTGTAATAAGCGGGATAATGTGCAGCGACTTGGTCATTATGGGTAAAAGAACACCCTTCATGTTCCTGTCGGGTGTACTTCTGCATTTCGAACTCAGACTCTCAAAGTGAATGAGAGTCCGAGTTCAAAATATATCTAAAATAATGTATGCACTGCCATCCCCGGGCGCTGTACAATAGCTGCCCACTGCTCCTAGTACTAGACTCCTGGGACTAGGATGGGTTCAATGCAGAGGCCAAATTTCACTGTGTGTGCTGTGTGCTCTGCATGTGTGACCATTAAAAGAGGGTTTCATCCCTCCCAATTCTACTCTATTTCCCGACATAAACATAACAGTCTGCAATGAAATGGTTGTCTCCTGTGCACTCCACTTCCTACTTGGCGCTCCGGTAACTTTCTCGTGCGAACGAGATACAGTATCTTTTTCATTGCCCTTTAGGGGCTCCGTACAATACAAAAACAAATGCAAATATTTAATTTTAAACAGTCAAGTCCTTTCAAGTCATCTGTCTCAAGTCAAGTCAAGTCTCAAGTCATGAATACCAAGTCAAAGTCAAGTCAAGTCTTTTATCAATGTTAGTCAAGCAAGTCTCAAGTCCAAAAATATGCGACTCGAGTCATGTCATGTGACTCGAGTCCCCGACCTCTGTCTTTTACCCATAATGACCGCCTCGCTGCACATTATCCCTTACTTGTTTCTGGCCCTATGAAAGACTGATTGACAGTTTGATATGCTAACAGCAAACATTAGGGACCTGTGTATGTATACCACCGATATAGAACATAGGAACAACTACTTCCTCTTGCCCACCCCACCATAAGGGGCATTGGGTGCCACCTCCTCACTGCTGGGAACCGTGAGAGCACCAAGGTAAACATCAACATGCCAGGACATGTCTGACTAACACACACAAACACAGGGAAGAATGTACACAGTGCTCATCCCATCAATCCTCGCTCCTACCTGGTATGAGGAACTTGAAGGGAAAGGTGTGTTCTCCTTGTTTCAGGGTTCCTGTTCGGGACACAGAGCACAGATAATATCTGTCAGTGGAAACAGTAACAATCAGCCTCTGTTTCCCAGCAGGCAGAGGCCTCAGGCTGCAGGGGCCACATCCCTACTGCAGGCCACAGTTAAGCCACAAGTCACTGTTCATGGCAGACTGAGTATTATTAACTGTTATATATACTGTTTCTGATGTGGTAAAGTGTATCTTTGAATCAGTGTGTAGTTAAAATGTCCAGGGTTTGGATGCATACCTTTGTCTGCAACAGAGATGGTGCTGTTGAAGTACTGTTCTTCCAGAGTCCATGCCGTGTCGTTTACCTTACTGGTGATGCCGCAGAAACCATTGCAGTTCACTTTGATGGCTGCAAACAAGAGACACAGGTTTTAGGTTTTCCCCTCAGATACTTTTATAAGCAGCTGCAGCGTGAAACACTAAAATCAAACACGGTACAAAGGCAGACAGTCTTTTATTCTTCAAGTAGTATAAAAAAAATCACAACAAGTGTCTTTAACCCCGGAGTAAGAGAGGGGTATAAGAAAATATGCTCCTTATTATTATGAAACCTAGCACACATATGCAAGTGAAGAAAGTGTTATGTGACATTGACAGGATATCCTGGAGACCTTGTTCTCCTCCTTCCATGTTCAAAGCTGAACTCCAGAGGTGTGAGAGTAGAAGCCACATCTTCGCAGCTTCGTTCACACTTGACAGAAGATAATCTCTCTATGGAGCTGGCTTTGTGCACTGTCATCGTCATGTTGAAACATGAAAGCAACAAACACCGACTGTTGGAAAGACACTGTTCTCTCAAACATAGGTTTTATAGTACAGAGCAGCATGGAGTCCCTTCATTAGAAACAAACCAAGAAAAAGTGAACCAGAACACCCGCAGAACCACACATTTAAAGAACTCTCTTCAGCATACAAACACTATGAAAACAAATGTAGTCCTTTAGTAACCTCACCATATCCCTGGTGTCTGTGGTGAACCACAATGACTTACACATTGATTGGGGCAATTGAGACTGATCTCAAGGAGCAATTATCACCTAACAAAAAGAACAATACAAGTATCTGAAGCCTATGAGAATGGGCTATTTACACTGCAGCTCATGCACAGTAAAGGCCCTTACACACCAGGCCGATATCGGCCGTCTTGCGTTGTTGAGCGAAAATGGGTTCCTTGTCGCCCAAATTCAATTTGGTGTGTCCCGAACCCTCGGCCGTGACACGCCTTATTTGGCCTTTCACGGTCGACACCCGGCCGGGTGTTGGACACAAGCTATCGGGCCAAGAAACCACTCTGATCAGCTGTTCAGCTTGCAAATGAGAAGCGAAACGGAAGTGAGGGACGTAAACAAACGATTTAAGGCACAAGACAGCAGCTAAACACCAGCAGGTGATACTTAAAAGACATCAAACATAGCCCTTAAATGTCCTCTCTTACCTCCCACACATAGCAGGGACATCTCTGATATCGGCGGGAGCGTCCCCGGCTGTCCTCTGCTGAGAGCTCCGTGATTTGTTTGGTCAAGTCCGGTTTTTCATCTCATCGTAAATTTAGCAAGAAGTGGCCATTATTACATTGCTGACTCAATAAACTACACACCCGCCAGAACACTGCGATCATCAGATGCAGGTCTATTAACTGTGATTTTATAGTATGTCTGCACTTTATGTGCTCATTTCATCATGCATGTATTTTTATATTCTAAAACATGTTTTCGATGGACGAGAGTGAAAATGGAACGCACACGCTATTTGTTTGTTTATATCAGTCTGTTCTTCTTCTCTGTCTTCCGGTTGTTGCCTATTTGTAATGACGAATACACACTACCGCCGGCTGCTGGTAAGGAGAGTTATTGCCACTCACGCATGCGCAGTTCGTACGTGCTCGGCTGTAGTAAAGCGGTGTATTTCAGTGTACACACGGCCAAGACGCAGGAGAACTCGTCGATGGATCTGTCGGTGTCGGATGTCGGCGAGTTCTCTGGTGACTGCCTGGTGTGTAGGGGGCTTAACACACCATTCATGAGTACATGGAAACCTTGTGTAAGGCCACGTTTACACGGAGACGAAACGGGTTGTATCCGCTACAGTTCTCCATCGTATGGACGGTTCGTCCACACGAGGCCGTAACGGAACCGCGGAAATGGAGCCCTCAAACGATAACGGCTCCCAAGGTGCGGACAAAATGCTCTGGGGGGCCAAACGGCTCCGTGTGTACGTCCTATACGATAATTTCCTGATAACGATGACGCCATAGCCCCGCCTCTCCCCACCTCTGCTGCTCACCCCCGCGTCATTGCTGATGTGTTTCGCCAACAACAACAATGGCAGATCACAGGGTTGCTTTCGTGCTCCAGGCGCTACTGACCATGCTACAGATGTTAGTGCAAAATCTACAGCTCCTCTACTTTCTACAAATAAATTCAAGATGTTTTTTAAGATAGACTATATACATGTTCTGAAGCCACTGTGGCCTCAGGATGCTTCCAACACAACATACAATAGCTTTAGCCAACGAGCTGCTGGGTCAGGTGAGGCTGCAGCAGCTCTGTGCCCTGATGTGAGCTATCATCTGTCTTTTGGAGTATGTGGTGTTCTACGGCTCTGTGCCTGTTAGCATGTTAACCTAGCTCCTGCTGGGTGACAGACCCTGCAGTTTGTGATGGACTCTTACCGCTGATGCACTGGCAGAAAGAACATAACATAAATCGGCTATGCAGCGATTTAAGAGGTTCAAACACGGAGGATTGTTCGCTCAGCGCTGTAAATTAAATTTCCCTTAACTTTCCCCTTAACTGCCGAATCGGAAGCTCTGAATCGGAAGCCAACTTCAGCGTTGTGCTTTAATCAATGTTTGAAAATGAATTCTTCATATATGATAAATGAGCGGTAACATTTTATTTATGGTATTATTTCCACATATTTCTCTCCATTCTTCCTTCTGCCAACGGTGTCGCAGTTTCTCGTCTCTCCCGTTGTTGTGCTTAGTGCGTACGCATGGGTCAGAGTTTGCGTGGAGGACCGCACATTTTCCCGTCAAGTTAGTATTTTATAAATCGCAAACATTGCGTAGAAACTGGCGTACGCCATTTTTTGAGCGTATATCCCTTTATAAATGAGGCCCCAGGCTTTTACGTCCTCTAAGCACTTTAGCAGTAGGCTAATTGAGTAACCCTCCTTCTTTTTTAGTGGGACATAAATCTGGCTATCATCAGCATAGCAGTGGAATGCGATGCCGTACTTGAGTACATCTACTTAGTTACTTTACACCACTGGCCACACTTTCGAATGATGAAAAGATCAATCACCAATAACAGTCTGCTGTAGGAGATTATAAACGCCATTAGAACTCCACTAAATCACTACTCTGAATCCATAAACAAAAGTAGTGTTTTTTTTAAACTATGACAGAGTATTTTTATAGTACAACCAACGTGAGAGGCCGCATTTCCTCCCCATGTAGTCCCAGCTAAACTCCACTTCCTCGTTAGGCGTCGGGCAGGTTTCCCGGGGGGGGGTCTCTCACCTTTACACTGCAGCAGCTGGCCCACTTTGATGCTCACGGTCCCGGAGATGGACTCCCCCGGACTGTACACGTCTTTGTTTTTGTCAAACGTGATGTTAAACTCCTGAAGTTTGCCCATGTTGTCCCCGATCCGCAGCGACAGTGAGCAGCTCACCTGTGCGCACAAACAACATGCGCATTTACCTCTACATGTCCCGCCCTCTGCATGACGTCACCTAGCTCTACAACATGGACAAATACACTGCAAAAACTGAAATCTTACTAAGATGAAATATCTTAAATCAAGGCAAAATATGCTTATATTTTGTCTGCCAAGATATTTCCTCTTACAAAGAAGTTTTTGCGGTAGTGAATTTCACTTACATTAAGTGTTTTTTTACTTAATTATCTTAATGAGATTGTATTACTTGTTCTTGAGATTGTAATACTGATTCTGAGTAAATTAATGTTTAAATTGAGAAATACCATAATTCTAAAGGTATTAGATCAACACTGATAAGTAGAAAACTGCTTTTTCAAAGTCAGAATATCTTATTGCAAGCATCCTATCCTTTTTCAATCTCTTAAACATATTAAAAACAGATAATGACCAAATGAAATTCATTGTTTTATTGTCAGTCTAAAACCCAGTACATCAATTAAGTATGTCCATATATGAAATGCAGTATACAGAAATAACAGTACCAGCCAAGTCAAACTACTGCATTAAGAACATTCTTTTCAGCATGTATTATTCTTCAGCAAGCTAAAGTGATTGAGCACTATGCGCAAACATCTCATTTGAAAAGTTAAAGTAGGTAACATTATTCAGGCCAAGGGCATTTAGCAAACATAAACAGCGTTGATAAACACCTAAATGGCTGATAACCAGGGGCGGACTGGGACTACAAATCAGCCCGGGACTCTCTCGACCGGCCCACTTTGGTACCCGCCGGCCCACCTCTGTACCGCAAGTAAATACCACTAGTAAATTGTCGACGGGGGGGGGCGTCAAATGTTAGCTGCAGATACAAACAGCTAATATTTGGTATCTGCTAATAACATATCCTAAGCAGTGTTTCCCATACCATTGTCTTGGAGGGGCGCTGCGCCCTACCAACGGAGCCCCCGCGCCCCCCCTGAAATTCAAGGTGTTTAAAAAAAAAATATATATATATTTTTTTTAATTATTATTTTTTTGTATTTATATATATAGCACCAAAATTGCAACTAATCTATATCTACTGTCGCTTTTCACATTGAACATGTGCTCTTTTATTAAATAAACTAAACGCTTTCATTTTAAGTTGTGAGTTTAGTGTTTTTGACCCTAAGAAACACTGATGCATTAATCAATAACAATAATCCACAGCACCTCTCTCTGCTCCAGAGGATTTAAAAAATATATAAAGTTATTAAAACGTTTCTGCAGCAGGCCATGTAAACGTTGGGAAAAAGAACTAATGAAATGGGTTTATCACATTCTCTAGCTGTATGGGGGAGGCCGGTGAGTCATGTTCCTATATATATAGACAAGTCATAATAATGCCTGGGAATAACTTGTGGAATGATGGGCATTTAGAAACAGATGTTTGAAATGTTACCTATGACCGCATCAGTTATTAATATTCCTAATATTTGCAACATATACAATATCTCTGTCACCCCTCTTTAAGAAATGGTACCTTCCAATGGGAACCGCGAAGAGGGTCCGTTAAGGGCGTGTGTTAGCCTAGGTCAGGTGCACCTAGCTTCAGGACGTTGCTGGCTAGCTTTCCTTCAGGCAGAAGACTGAACCTCCGCAAGTGATTTAACATTTAACTATGCCATGGATGAAAATGGAAGAGATATCACATATCCGGGCATGGATCCTATAGCAACTGCAGTATTAAAAGGTAATGTAATTGTGTATTTATGCTGCACCTCTCCAGCAAGCTTTACATTATTTGAATCGGTTGGACAACAAGTTAGCATGCAAAGTAAGCTAGCTAGCTGGCTACATATCTAGCGTTAACTTAGCTTATATCTACTGTAAGCTGTTAATAACTGCACAAACGACAAATCGTGGTTACATTTTACCTACTGTAACAGCAATTTTTTAAATGTCAATTATAACTAAGTGCAAAACATGTTTTAATGTTAAAGAAAATCTTGTGAAGCCAGCCAGAAATGTACATTACTCTTTCATTTGATGTATTTAGATAAATATGTTATTAGTTGCTTTTTACCTTATTATTAACTGTGTGGTTAAATCTGTTTTCAGCTGCTAATATAAGCAGAGACATGCTGCCCAGCCTCTTTAAGGAGGACTTGCGTGATCTCCTTCCCGGGCCTGAGCACTTCAGAAGAAGAAGAACCATTTGGAGACTATAAAACCAAGGCCAGACCAAACAAGATGGATGTTGCTCAGCTCCTGGACCTCGAAATCCAAGCGAGAAGGGCCTTCATTGACTCTGATGTTACAAAGGAGCAGGACAGGCCTTCCAAGATTCTTAAAGCTTATCCTTGCTTTGGAGAACTGGATCATGTAAGCAAATGTTTTCGTTTTATGTACAACTATGCTTCCTAATTCGGTTAACGTTAGACCAAATTTGAAATGAGAAATGGTATGACAATTAAATCAGATCTGTCTCATTATTTATAAATGAATGAGCAATGAATATGCTTATTGAATACAAATATTTAATCTGCATAGATATATAAAAACCCTCCACTTATTTAAAAAGAACACATTTCACAAATGTGCTTCTGATACACACAACATTATTTTGTGAGTAGTATTGGTCCAAAATACGTATTTAAAAATAGTGTGTGCATCAGACATATTTTTGTTAAGTGACCATTTAAATCACATTATACACGTATGAATCTTTTTTTGGAAATTCAGTTATGAGACGAATTACTAACCCTTGGAATGTAGATTTAATATTTCTTCTATATATTTTCTCTCTCGTTGTCTTAGCTAATGGATGAACTACGGCGGGTCCTCAATCAAGGCAACTCCCACTTCTTAACGGAACTTAAGACCCGGTGGGGGACCTTTTGTGAGAGGGCACAGTTTTATGGAGTTTTCAAAAAGCTCACGAGGCCTCCGCAGCTTGACAAAGGTGATTATTATCTCTGACCATGTCTGTTTATTAACTGACTGCAGGAAACGGAATGACACTTTTTTTTTTTCAACAGTAAAGCACTCAATTGCCATGATGAAGGCTTTATCAGAGATGTTCCCATCACCTATGGCCCCACCCAAGAAGTTAAGGCATGCAAGTGAGGCTGTGCTCCACGTCCTTGAGGTAAGAAAATGTATAAGAATTTTCTCATGTCGATACAAAGAGTGAAATGTTGTGATCATATTTGTTTCCCTTTTTGTGATGATTTCCTTGTCTGTTTTTGTGTCAGTCTGCAGAAGACCCCAACACCTTTCTCCAGACACGACCACTCTCCAGCCCTGTTGTCATCATCTGCGAAACCAACTGTATACTGGCCATTGGAACCATGCCCGTGCTCATCTTCCCAAAAGAGGACATTCATGAAAGCGTGATGTATCTCATGGCATGTTATTACACCTTTCACCTATCCTAAGTGCATTGCAACGCTTCTGTCCATTCACGACCGTGACATGACTACTTCATACAAAAAGGCTATGGCCGACTGGAAAAAGTTCATAAGTGATTAGGGCACTTATATATGAGGGGCCGCTAGGGACATTATTCAGAAATACCGTTCACATACACATGTGAAACGCTCTCACACACAACTGAAACCAAAATAATTTACAAACATATGTAAAAAATCTCTCATTTACACATATGAAACGCTCGCATACACATGAAATCCAAAGTTATTCACATACACATGTGAAATGCACTCACACCTGAAACGCTCTCACACACACATGAAACGCACTGACACACACCTGAAACGCTCTCACACACACATGAAACGCTCTCACACACACCTGAAACGCTCTCACACACACATATAAAACACACTCATATACACATGAAATGCGATTTCAATATGTTGTGTGGGAGGGATTTCAGTTGAAACGGAAGGCATCTCGCCTTTTTGAAATTTGCGCTTCTTCGCTGTTTTTTTTAAAACGACTTCCTTTTCAACCGAGATGCATTCCGATTCAACTGAAATCCCTCTCACACAACATACTGAAATTGCACTTCATGTGTATATGAGTGCGTTTCATATCTGTAGGAGAGTATTTCGTGTGTGAGTGCGTTTCATATCTGTGGGAGAGTATTTCGTGTGTGAGTGCGTTTCATGCGTGTGTGAGTGCGTTTCATGCGTGTGTGAGAGCGTTTCAGGTGTGAGTGAGTGCGTATCACATGTGTATATGAGTGCATTTGACATGTATATGTAAATAACTGTGGATTTCATACGTGTGTGAGAGCGTTTCATATGTGTATATGAGAGATTTTTACATGTTTGTAAATTATGTTGGTTTCATATGTGTATGTGAACGGTATTTCTGAATAATGACCCTAGCGGCCCCTCATACTTATAGTCCTATTGAAAATTGTTCGCTGAGTCAAAAGTGTCATGAGAATTTCACTTGCGTTGCATTTTACAGTGAAATAATAATAGAAGACATATCTGATGACTGACCTTTACTACACAGTTTGAAAACAATAAAACATTAAAAGAATCATTTGAGACTCATATTTTTCTTTATGCAAGCAAGTCAAAGTTTATATCTTGATAGGATTAAAGATTTTTGAAGGTTTTGTCTCTACTTTTTCTTGGTATTTAGCCTTATTTTAAGAATACTTTAATAGCACAAATGCTGAATTTAAGTAGATTTTTTCTACATATTAAGAAAATAATTCTTAAATCTTATCTTTGTATCTAGACAAATGTACCTGTTTAAGTGAAGCTGCACTGGTTTTTTAAGATATGTTGCCTAACATAAAATTGAATTTTGGGACAATAGCAGTAGAATATGCTGAATTCAAGCACATTTTCCTTATAAGATTATAATTCTTAAAATATTCCTTGCTTCAATTCAAATGTACTTATTTTTGGTTTAAAAACACTCGTTTTAAGATATCTGTAGATCTTTTTAGGCTAGATATATTTACTTGTTTTAAGAAGGTCTTGGCAAGTGAAGTTTTCTTGTTCTGTTTGGTAGATAATTTTTCTTATTTTAAGTAATATATTACTCATTTTATTATTATTTT